GTCAACAACTCAACAAGGGATCGCCTTAACCTACTCTGTGGAAAGAGACATACTGCCCTGATGTTCGTCCGTTAGGGGCACCGAGTATGCGTTCGCAGGCCACAAGCCTTTCAGATTTGCGTCTTGCCCCAGAGCCCCCATCCAGAGGGTCTCTCTTGGGAGGGTCAGCCACCTTCCTCCCGAGGCTGCCCAGCCCAGGTGTTCAGTGGACGTTGTGTGCTCTCCCCCCACATTCAGGGGGTCTATTGTGACGAAAATGTCACAAGCAGTGTCACCACACCACACATACTTTGTTTCCCTCACCCAAATAATAAAGGCTTCGGCCTCTGTGTTCCCCGACACAAAGCACACACAAAACACAATAAATCAAACTGTGACTAGTGGGGCGGGGCCGAGAGCCATGGGAACGGAGCGAGGCCGGTGGAATAAATGATAATGAGCGACACCTGCGCCACTCACCGGTCTCGAGTCCCACGGAGGAGCTCCGGAAGGATAAAAGGAGGAGCGACGACATTGAAGAACGAGAGAGGACCAGGCCTGGACTATTTATGTTGTTGTTTTGGTATGTTTTATGCAGCAGTCGTCTGTGAGGGGCTGCCGCTTTTACTTTCGTTTTGTGTTCGTTCATTTGTTTATTAAAGTTTTATGTTTAAATGTTCGCTGGTTCCCGCCTCCTTCTTCCCCGATCTACGAACATTGTTACACAAACGAATCAAATGAATTCATTTCAAGGGGCGTGCATCTCTCTACAAAGAGAGAACATCTCTCAGCAGAGAGAGCACACCTCTCTAAACCCCTGCATGTCACCTCTAGTCTGTCCACTAGATGGCGCCATTGCATCACAAATGAGTAAACAGGCCGAATTGCCAGCTCTAAGCAGTTCTCCGGTTCGTGTAGGAACTCTAGCGAATAATGTAACAGCCTGGCTGTCTGTGTCAGCTCTCGAATGGGTGATTCACACAATAACAATGGGGTACAGACTTTAGTTTGCCAAAAGACCCCCGTGTTTCAACTGAGTTATCTCTTTTCATGTGGAAGAGAGCTCTGCTCACATTCTGAAAGACGAAATCTCCTCCCTCCTCGAGAAAGGAGTGGTTTGAGTGGTCCCTCCTCACTTACGCAGTCAGGGGTTTTACTCACGTTATTTCCTGATTCCAAAGAAGGACGGTTCCCTCCGTAACATCTTGGATGTCAGGGTGTTGAAGAAACATTTAAGGAAATACAATTTCAGAATGTTAACACACGGGTCTCTCTTACACTCAATAAATCAGACCGATTGGTTAACATCGATCGACCTGAAAGATGCTTTTTGCCACATAAGAATTTATCCTCCGCACAGGAAATTCCTTCGTTTCGGTTTGGCTCTCAGCCCACAAACTTTCTGCCTGTGCATGGAGGCAGGTCTGGCCCCGTTGAGAATAGTGGGTCTCAGGATTCTGACATATATAGATGATTGGCTGATTACAGCCGATTGAAAAGAGAATGTAATGCAGAACACTGCCCATGTGCTCGCTCACGTCACAGCCCTCGGTCCTATTTCTGGGTCTGGAGCTGAATTCTATTATGATGTGCGCTTGTCGCAAGAGCGCATTCTCTCTTTCATGAATTGCCTCTCGCAGTTAAGGGAAGGAGTGAGGGTACAGTATCACACATGTCTCAGATTATGGCCTATGGCTTCGGCTGTCCATGTCCTGCCTCTGGGCCTTTTGAGAATGAGGGCGTTCATGAAGTGGGCTTTATCTCTTCATCTCAGCCCATTACGCGATCTTTGCCGCCCTGTCACAGTGACACGCTCATGTACGGCAGCGCTGCGGTACTGGAGTTTTTATACTCAAGTGACCCCCCTGGGGGCCATCATGTTGCGGAAAGTGGTAACGACCGACGCGTCCTTAACAGGATGGGGAGCCACTCAGGGCAGAACAGTGAATGGTGTGTGGCTGATCACACTCCACTCAGCCCACATAAATTATTTGGAGCTCCTCACTGTTTAGAAGGCTCTGAAACATTTTCTGCCCTGCCTGCAGGGACATCACGTGCTGGTGCATTGCAACAACACCACAGCCGTGGCAAATATCAACCACCATGGGGATGCGCTCCTCCAAACTTCATGCTCACCCATGACCCAATGTGCTGCTCTACACTTTTCCTCCGCTCTGTCGTAGTTTTCCTACTTTATGCAGTACTAGCAGTAATTTAGCATGTAGCAAGGATCAGCATTCATTGACTCCGAATTGTGAGCAGCGCACCGAGACAATCAATTGTGAATATAAGGGATTTAATAAATGAAACTATAGCTAACATACAACTAAATTAAGCAAAACACAT